AGACAAGGATAAAGGATCAAGCTGTCGTGCCATTGAACCATCCAGGGAATTAACTGCATCCAGTGCAAAAAAACGAAAGTTAGATCAAGTTCCTTTCGCCAGCTTAGATGCACTTGATGATGAAGAATCAGATTCTGAAGATGATACTGCTGCGCTTTTAGCTGAACTTCAGAGGATCAAAAAAGCACGAGTAGCAGAACAAGCTAAGAAAGTATGTAATATTATAATGATCACGCAGTAACATCGCAACATCAAGTGCATAAAAATATATAACAGGCCGCTTAACGCGTCGTCTCTGCATATATGTTCACCGCTGCTAAATTCGCGACGCCACCACTAATTATCCAGAGTTTTCATATCGACAAACTTTCAATTAAATTTTCTTCCATTGAGTATATCTGCAAAGATATTATATGTAATAACCTTTTTGTTAATTCGTATTACAAATAATTTCCGTATAAAAACATATTGGAAATATTACGTTTTAATACGCGATCTGTACACGCCAAGTTTGTTCTTTATTATAAGTCAGTTGACCACTTTAGTCACTTTCAGTCCATCTTATGTGTCTTGTGTAATGAAATACTTGGCTAATTGCATTTATTTTGTATTCGTTTTTTTTATTAAGGAGGCCAGATGGTTTGGAGGATCAAAAAATCATTTTTTGTGAATTTTTTGTGGAAAAATGATTACAGTTATTTTAGGTTTGAACTTATAATTTATTCGCACTTTATATACAATAAGTATGAATTTTTATTAATTAAATTGTGTTGAAATGTTCGAGAGGCAACAATGGCGGTAAACGTGTCCACATGAAGTTTTGTTGAATTGCTGACATTGTGCAGTCGTATGAACTAATCGTATGAAATAAAAAAAAATCAAATTGATTTGTAATTTATAATGTAAGAATGTATACTATAAATCTAACAAAATTATTAAAAATCGCGATTTGTTAAAATTACTTCTTTATAAAAAAACAAAGATTCTTTTTTGACCATTAAATTACCAAAAAAATATTTACTATTATTGTTTTGAAAAATTTACTATTAATTTCAAAAAATTTATTATTTTTTTAGTACCGTATAGAGAAAATAGTTGTAATAAATGTGTAAAGAGCGGCGATCAGTTCATAAGCCGTTTTCTCTACAATGTCAGCAAATTTGAAAAAATGCGTTTAAAGTGTTGAGTTAGAATACTTATGTTTTTTTAATACTTACAATAAATTTTTCTTATTTGGCGACTCCCGGGCCATAATTCATCCTCTTGTTTGAAATGTAGAAATGTAGAAAAAAAAATCAGAAATACGGCGGATGTTTCTTTGTTCGAAGAAGTAACAGTCGTACGGCGCGTTGCGGGAGATCGAAACTCGCGCTTGTGCACCATTTCAGTTAACCGTGAATTACTCCGTTATTTTACCTTATTTCTATGAACAGTTTTGATAACATATTTTCAAGACAATCAACTTTCCGAAAATGAAATTTAAAAAAATTGATTTTTTTTACTCTCTAAACCACTCGGCCTCTTTAAGAAGAATGTAATTCGATATCTTTTTACACTTTTTGCACTTGGCATATATTTTTATCTTTCTTTAAAAAGATTCTTTTAGAGAGTTCGAATACTTTCAAGTTTAACTTACTGTCTTTTTGTTCCCCTCATATATCTTTCGTGTCTAAAAGAAGAATGTAATTCGATACTTTTTTATGCACTTGGTATGTATTTTTTCCTTTTTTTGAAAGGGTTCTTTTAGAGAATTAGAGTATTTTCAAGTTTGGCTTACTGTCATTTTGTCCCCCTCATATATCTTTCGTGTCTAAAAGAAGAATGTAATTCGATACTTTTTTATGCACTTGGTATGTATTTTTTCCTTTTTTTGAAAGGGTTCTTTTAGAGAATTAGAGTATTTTCAAGTTTGGCTTACTGTCATTTTGTCCCCCTCATATATCTTTCGTGTCTAAAACATAAAATATTATCTTATATTTATCTTATAGTTATTATTTTATATTTATATTTATCTTATATTTATTATTTTGCAGGAAATGGAGAAAGGCCGTATGGAAAATATCCTTTCAAGAAAATGGGACGATGTCGTCTTTAAAAATTGTGCACGTTCCGAACCGAAGAAGAAACATGATGTTTTTATTAACGATTCTGTACTAAGCGAATTCCATTGTAAATTTATGACGAAATATGTTAAGTAATTTATTAATTATAAGCATCAACATATAAAATAATTTTAGGCATTGTAAATAATTTTTTTATTGAATAAAAATTTATTTTTGTTATTTATATTGAATAATCGTCATTAACCAATTCTAAACCAACAATTGAGCGGGGCAGCGTTTTCGCCCAAAATATGCGACGAGATAATCCGAGCGATGATGTAGGGCATTGTAGGGGGTCGGTAACCCGGTAAATAATAGAGAGCCTATAATCAGAGTGGCGCCATACGAGAGATGATGTTTCACGCTATGTTTTAGCGAAATTCTGCGAGAGAAAAAGAGATATACGGTCT